TCACTCAGGGACCTGGGGGGCCTAGAAAGCAGCACCTGCTGAGGTGCTGGGAGGAAACAAAGCTCTTCACCTGGAATTCGCTGCCAAGGGGCATCCTCCAAACCTGAAGTGACTAAGAACATTTTCAGATAAACTGAAGCAAAAGAGAATTGGTCACTAGCTGACCTGCGCTCCAGGAATTGCCCAGGGAAGTTCTTCAGGCTGAAGGGAAATGACACCCGGTGGAAATTCAGAGCCCCAGGAAAGGAGGAGGAGCCCTCCTGGCTTAGAAGCCCAGCCTGATCTGGCGCTTGTCTTTTGCTCAGATTTAACTTCAGAAGATGTTGTCCACAACAAGTCACCACCCAGCCTTGTTACGGTTTTGTTTTTGTTTTTTATTCCAATTCTCCCAAATCCATTGATAGATTCTGAAATCGATCTAGAGGGTCGTGACCAGTATTTTACTTCTTAAGTAGAGTAAAGGGGAAAATACCAAAGTACCCTGCTGTGCTGGCTCAGTTTATCTCTAACTTTATTCAGGCCTGTGTGCACATAAACTGGTGTATGATGTGAAATGTATTTCTTGATGTTTGGGTTGTGGACCAGAATATGTACACTGGTCCTTCTGCTTCTTGAACATCCCAGTTGTGTGTATTGTTGTCACCTGAGAACTGTCTTTTTTTCATGTCTTTGCGTGGCCACCTTCCTAACTTTTAAATTTGATCTCAAGTGTTACCTTCTCAGTAAAGTCTTCCCTACCTTTCTAAAAAAAAGCAGGGTAGTGCAGTCAGTGTCCACGTGACTTAAAAAAAAAACAGCCTGAGAACTAAAGAGTATCGTAAGTTGCTTTTGAATTTACCCTTAATTTATATGTGGTAGTCAGACCTTTTACAAAACTTGTCAGTAAAGGAAAAACACGTAGGAAAGCCAATAAACCATAATGAAAATCTGTTCTGGGTGGAGAAAAGTTACTAGATTTTTCTAAATCTGTTTACTTAGAATAAAATGCACATATAGTTATCTTTTTTTAAATTAACTTCCTGCCTTTTTTTGTTTCTTTGTTCCCACTAGAAACTACTGCTTTGCACTAGTTTTTCTGGCTTTACATTAAAGTAGCTTTTCATTAATTTTGGAATTTCTCCATTTTCAGTTGTCAAATGTGAACCTCCAAATATTCAAAATGGAAAACTGGAATCAGGATTTTCAAGAAAATATTACTACAAAGCGACTATTGTATTTTCATGTGACGAGGGATATTATTATAAAGACACCAACATAGTTACCTGTGGAGCTGAAAGTACTTGGGAGCCTGGGAAGCCAGAATGCTTTAAAGGTACAAAGGGTGTCTTTTCCTCTTTCTATGTTTCTTTAACATTTCATTTCTTTGACATTAAATATCAGTGATATGGAATAATTGAAAAGAAGCAATTTTAGTATTTAAAAACTGTTATATTTGTTTCAATGACAGATGCATGGCACGATTACAAATTCTGCTGTAGGCATTTTGTGTGTTTTCATAGAGTCTTAGCATGTTATATTCAGCACACAGGTATATTATTTCTCTTGTTCAGCTTTTTTATGTGTAAAAATGGATAGCAACCATTTTGCAGAAAACTGAGGCATGGGAATTTTTACCTAAATAAGTCAAGAGTGAAAAGCATAATTCATACATGAAAAGAAAGCAATAATTCCAAAGTGGTTGATGGTCATCATTATGTTTTCCAGCGCCGATTCCTGCCACTACCAAACCTCCGATTTTGAGTCATTCAGGTTCAGTAACTTCTTGCTTATAATTCTCAAAAATCTTTTAAATTACTTGTGCAAATGCTAGCAATAACTCCCCACTACTTGATCCAGTGTACATTATTTTGTTTTCCAGTGGTGACTTCTCCCAGTATAAAAACTCCAATTTCAGCTGTCTCAGGTTTAGTAACTTCGTATTTGTGCTTTACAAAAATCCTTTATATGCATGTGATTTGTGCTTATTCATAATTTTTAGTGATGAAAGGAGAAACACAATTTATAGCCATTTCGTCGTTATATTTAGTGATTATAAAATTATTTTCCATAGTCCACAGATACAAACAGGTATATAAACTTGGGCAAGTTATGTAAACTTTAAATGTGTTCCCTTATCTGTAAAATGATGTAATGCCTTCCCCACTGGTGATTAAGTGAAGTATAAATGGGATGCACTTAAAGCACTTGGCATGTGCCTGCCATACAGGCAGCCCCAAGGTAGCTCCTGTGACTTACAGACAGCATCACGCGAATGGATATTCGTGAAGAGGAAGGCCCAGGGCTTTTGTTTCTTCATGTGTATGTTTTCCGTGCCAGCAACTTTGCTATTTCATTCATTTTGTAAGCCATCTGTTTACTGGGTATATTCCTGGTTCAGTACTATGTTTCATCTGCCAGATTGCACCCAGTTTAGTTCTTTTTATGTAGTACAATTTAAACTGGGGAATTGACAAGGTCTGTATTTCTCATCTACCCTGCCCAGCTCATGCAATTACCTTTTTCTTCTTACTGGTGTTTTTATTTGGCAGCAGAAATTAAATTTCAAGCAGCCAAAGGGTAGGAGAAGTCCTCATTTGTTGAAATAAAATGCAGGATTTCTTGCAGGGACTAGTGATCACGACTTGAGAGATGGTTTTGATATGGTGGAAGGAGTTATCTTCCTGATTTCTGTGCTGCTGTCTGGCTGCTCTTTGGTTGCTGCAGGAGCAAAAGTTCACAGGGACAGTGGGAAGAGCGCCAGCCTGCGCAGGCCTTGCCCAGGGTCCTAGTTTGGCCCTGCTGACCCAAGAAACATCATTTCTGTGGGCGTTAGTTCCCTTGTTTAATGAGGGTGTTGAACTCAAATCTCAATTACCAGCTTCTAATCTGTGTGTATATTTCCTATTGTTCTAATGTTTTAAGAATCGAAGGAATTATGCATGCTGAAATGGAAATGAGGAATAATTCAACATTTTTAAAATCAAAATTCAATCCACAATCTTGTGTTGATAAGGCTGGTGAATTGAATTGACTTAATTTTTCCAGGTTCCACGCCTACTCATACAACCACTACTCCAGTTTCAAGTCATCCAGGTTCAGTAACTATTTATCCTACTTATATTGTTAAGAACTTTGTAAGGTGGTGGCTAAAAATGATGTCTTATATTAAGTTGCATTAATTATCAATGAAGTTGAACTTTCTTTGGTCTACATTTAATGCCCTTTACTCACTTTTCTATTAGGTCTGTAGTATATTTTTCTGATTGATTTGTCAGAACTGATTACAAATTAAAGTCCTATTAACATGAAGTGAACGTTTTTTCTAGGTCTTTTCTTCTTTGCCTTACTTTCACCAGTTTTCTTTTTAAGGTTTTTATACTATTGGGTATTGATTGTTTTTTATTACTTTTAATTTCATAGTATACAAAAGTAAATTTGTAAAATTTCAAACATGGATGTATACAGAGTAAAAGATTTTTTAATTTTTTTTCCCTCTTCGATTACTTGAGTTAATCACTTAATTAATAGCATAGGGTCTTTTTGTCTATGTCTGTACATAAGCATCCTTTTATGTGTAGTTATATATATTTTGGTGTTTTTCCCTCAAAAATGGCATTGTGCTATTTATATTTTTTCTGAAATTTACACTTTTTTTTCCACTTCATGGATGGGGATTTATTCCCATCATTTTTAGTGATGACTTCAATATTCTCCTCTTCTAGCCTCCTATCAGTGATCATTTGTATGTGTAGAAGTTTTACATTCAGAGGTGGTTGGATTTATTAATCTTTTCCCTAATGGTTAAGTGTTTTGTGTCTTTTTTGTAAAAGCTCTAGGTCTCCCTCCTGCTGAAACTGCATAGACATTTCAACTATGATTTCTGATTGCATTCTTTACATTTAATCGTTGGTACAACTTAAAATCATTACAGTATATGGAATGATACATCATTTTTCTGTACTTCCCCACCCTCATCCAATGACTGAGTAGCACTATTGGCTGAGTAAATTGTATCCTCTCCAGCTGCTTTAAAGTGTCGATTTTTATCGTACATTAAATTCATAGTTGTTCTGTCATCTTTCTGTCCTTCCAACTCTGTCCATTTCTGTGCTGACACACAAAAAAACATTTTTTTCCCACTGTATTCCTGTGATACGTTTTAATATCTGGCAGAAAACTTCCTTTTCAGAAATGGTCAGGCTACTCTCTCTTAATTTTTCTAGGTCAACTTTAATTTTTTACCATGCTAACCATTTTGAGTATACATTTCAGTGATATTAAGTATATTCATTGTTGTGCAAACATCTCTACTATCTGTCTCAAAGTTTTTTCATCATCTCAAACTGAATCTTCATACCCATTATCTCTCTCCGTCCTTTTTCGCTCAGCTCTGATAACAACTCTTCTACTTTCTGTCTATGAATTTGACTATTCCAAGTAACTCATAGAAGTGAAATCACTTCTGGCTTATTTCTCATAGCATAATGTTTTCAAATTCCATCTATCTTGGCATGTATCTCAGAACTTTATTACTTTTTATGGCTAAATAATTTTCCATTATTTGTATATACTGCATTTCCCTAAAATGTTCATCTGTTGCTGTTAGACGCTTGGGTTGTTTCTACTTTTTGGCTGTTGTGAATAATGTTTCTTTGAGTACTGGTATTCAAGTAACTGAGTCTCTCTTTTGAGTTTTGGGGGTTCTTTACCTAGGAGTAAAATTACTGTGTAATATGGTAATTCTGTGTTTGCCTTTTTGAGGAACAACCTTACAGTCTTCCACAGAGGCTATACTATTTTATATTCCCACAGGAGGTGCACAAAATTTCCAGTTTCTCCACCTCTTTGTCAGCACTTGTTATTTATCTGTTTTGATTATGGCCATTTTACTATATGTGAACTAGTATCTTACTGTGGCTTTTACTTTATTTCCCTAATGATTAGTGATTATCTTTTCATGTCCTCATTGGTATTTTGTATATCTTTAGAAAAATGTTCAAGTCCTTTGCCTAATTTTGAATTGTTTTTATTTGTTTGCTTGTTATTGAGTTTTAGGAGTTCCTCATTTATTTTGGATACTAATTCCTCATCAGATACATGGTTTACAGATGTTTCCTCCAGTTCTGTGGATTACCTTTTCACTTTTTTGATAGTGCCAATTGATGTACAAAAGTTTTTAATTTTCATGAACTTTCCATCTATTTTTTTCTTTTATTGCCTGTGCTTTTGATGTCACATCCAAGAAATCATGAATCATTACCAGAACCAACATCATGAAGCTTGTCCTCTGTTTTCTTCTAAGAGTTTTATAGTTTTAGCTCTTATGCTGAGTTCTCTGAATCCATTTCAGATTAGTTATTATATAGGTGTAAGTAAGGGTCCAACTTCATTCACTTGTTTGTCAATAATCCAGTTTTCCAAGAACCATTTGTTGAAAAGACTGTCTTTTCCCCATAAATGTCCTTTGGAACCTTGTTGAACATCCTTTGGCCACATATTTGCGGGTGTTATTTCTTGGGCCTCTGTTCTGTTCCATTGGTCTACATGTCTGTCTTTATGCCAGCACCACTCTGTTTTGATTATTCTTGCTTTTTAGTAAGTTTTGAAATCAGGAAGTGTGAGTCCCCTTAACTTTGCTTTTCTTTTTCAAGATTGTCTTGGCTATTCCTAGTGCCTTTGAGGTGCCACATCAGTTATAGGTTGGATTTTTCTATTTCTGCAAATGCATAATCAATATGGTAACGGGTTTCATTTAATCTGTAGACTGCTATTATATAGTATTAACATCTTAATAACAGTATTAAGTTCCCCAATCCATGAAAACAGGATGTCTTTCATTTATGTGTTCTGCAATTTCTTTCTGCAGGGTTTTGTAGTTTTCAATATACAGGTCTTTCACCTTCTTGATTAAGTTTATTCCTAAATATTTTATTCTTTTTGGTGCTATTGTAAATGGAATCATGTTTTATAATTTCCTTTTTAGATTTTTATTGCTTGTGTATAGAAATGGGACTGACTTTTGCATGTTGATTTTATAGCCTACAACTTTGCTGAATTCACTTATTAGATCTAACGTGTGTGTGTGTGTGTGTGTGTGTGTGTGTGTGTGTGTGTGTGTGTGTGTGGTCTTTAGAGTTTTCTATATAAAAGATCATGACATCTGGAACAGAGATCATATAATTTCTTCTTCCCAATTTGGATGCTTTTTATTTCTGTTTGTTGCCTAATTGCTCTGACTAGCACTTTCAATATTATGTTGAATAGAATTGGCAAACACAGGCATCCTGTCTTGTTCCTGGTCTTAAGGGAAAAATTTTCAGTCTTCCATCAATGATTGTGATGCAGCTATGGATTTTTCTCATAAATGGCCTTTGTTATTTTGAAGTTTTCTTCTATTGCACATCAACTTCTAAATCATCTATTAAGCCCTCCTGTATATTTTAATTTAAAATGGAATCACATTTAATCCATAAGCTAATTTTGATAATATACTTAGGATACATTGCTTGCAGTAAACACAGAAGATTGTCACAGGAAGTGTTGCTGAACAGGAAGAATGCTGATGACATTGAGTATAAAATCTATAATATTTGATGATACTACTTTTATGGAGCAACATTAATTTATGTAAGGAAATTTATAAAGGTTTTGTAAAAAGGCAAAAAATCAAAACCTGTGAATGTACAAGTCTTTTAAGTTTTATTTTTTCTTTTATTTTACTTTTTTACTTATTTCCATTTTTTTCTTTTTTCTAGGACGTCCTGATGATGGAACACCACCTAAAGGAACTGAGAATTTAGGTATTATTTTGGTTATTAATAACCATGTGTTTATTGTGAAGCCCTAGAATTCTATCTGGACATATTTCAATTATCCTTAGTTAGAGAAGTAACAACATGTCACAAATGGGTGATAACTGACATTTGTAGTTATGTTAAGAGAACAGATACCATGACAAATGTAAGCAGTAGTATGTATGTATGGACACATGTAGATACTACAGATTTTAAGAGGTACCCCAAATTAAGATTCCTGGTAGGGTGAGATAACCTTCTTAAATGCTGTGGTTATATGGGGGTTAAAATATATAAAACATAACTTGCTTTCCATGTGGTAGTGTTATTTTGTGATGACACTACTGAACCTAAAGGTAATATAAGTTGGGTTAGTTTATTCCTACAACTGGCTGGTGTGGCCAATATTAGGTAGGCGCAGGTAGTTTACACAATATATGTAAAGAAAATGGTGAAGTATAGTTGTGACAGTTAAATGAAATATAAAGATTTAGTCATAAATAAATTATGATTTTTATTTACATTAGGCTAGTTTAGAATCTAGCCTTTTTATAAAAATGTACCTTAAGTTTCTTAACATTTGTCCTCTGAACACTGGTCAAACTGTCATTGTACGAGTAAGTTCAGTGCCATGTTAAGATATTAAACACTTGACAGTTTTTTATTAAATGAAAAGAACAGAGTTAAACATGGTATTTTATGCTCTGACTTATAGAAATTTAATAAGAATAATGGAAGTTGAGAAGCAGAAATACTACTGACAAACATTTCTAAGAATTAAGATTTTGTAGTATTATTTATTGCTGTCTGAATGGTCAGAAATACATAATTTTTATATACGTGCCCTGGCATTTGATTTACATTCTTAGATTCTGCTTGGTAATTAGGACTGTGTGTTAAGTTTTTAAGGGGAGGGGGAGAAGGAGAGGCTGATGATAAGATAAAGTATTCTTAGTGAAGACTTGTAAGTAGCATCTGTGGATAGATTAATAGAATTATTTATAACTTGCTTTTTGGGGGAAAAAAGGGTGATTAACTTTGTAACAAAATCATAAGAAATGAGAATGAATACTGAACTAAACCAAGTATAATGGGATAATATGTTTTTAAAACAGTTCTCCTCTAAGCTAGTGAATTCTTGTCCTAGTAGCCTCTCTAAATACTATGTATGGCAGCTTCAGCACAAAACAGTGAAGGCTGAGATGCCCATTAAGAATTTCATAAGGGGGATCCTAACCCTGGAATCTGGTTGGAAGGGTTCTGTGGTTAATATGACCTGGATGCACTAGCAGTCCTGCCAGAACTCGATTGATCCAGGTTGTCTTTGCTGCAGTTTATGATGGTCTGATCAAAATTAAAATGCAGCTGAAATCCGGAGGCCCATATGTGACCGTGTTCAAACCACTTGCATTTTTTCTCAGGTGGAGGCATCATTGCTGTGATTGTTCTTAGTGTAGGTAAGTATCCCAGACTTTAATACCACTTAAAACATTTCTGTGATGAGGTGTATTTTTTTAAGGATTTTTCAGTTTCTATAGTTTTTAGAACTTGAAATTAAACAGTCTAGAAAAACCTGACTTTTTATGTGATACATGACCTTGTGTTGGCGATGTGTATTCTTTTATATTTTGCATGTCCACTTAGTAGCAAATCCTGAATACTACCTGTGCTTTCAAGATGATTAGCTATATGAGTATGTGTCCCAAATGTGCTTTGGGTACTTTTCTAAATTAAACAGGGACTCTTCTCCAACTTACTGTGGACTGTTTAAATGACTCCAGGGAATTGGATTAGATAGTGAAGAGTCCAGACAAAATATGAATGTGTATGTGTTTAAATAAGATACCACTTTCTAACCACTGAAATGTGACCTGCATTTACTTCTTCTGCCATTTGGATCTTGGTAATGAGTCTTCAGAGTTACGCGTCATTTTGTTTCCTTGTTTCTGCAGTTGTTGGCATTGCAGTAATTGCTGGTGGCCTCTACGCGTTTCTTCACAAGAGGAAAAGAGGGTAAATTAAAGCGCGCTTCTTCTAACTTACTGGTCTTTCTCACTGTTGACATACTTCTTTGAGTCTTTTGTTTGTTGTCCGTATCGCATGCCGTCTTCTAAAGCATGCCTTCATGAGTGTGCCATCCGAATTGCATTTGTCTACTAAAAATATTTTCAGCTGGTTTTACTATCTTTGCAATAAGAGTACTCTTGTGCAGAGTTGCTCCACTTATTATGCCTGTAAGAAACATTTCTGTGGGATTTGAGGATTCAGTTCTACAGCAAATCATGGACTATTATGGCATCTTTGCTATCCAGGTTGACCATATTTCCTAAACTGGGACTAGTGGCCAAGATTAAATTGAAGTACTTCACTGTGAAGATTTTGACAGTTGCATTTTTATGATCAAAGTTTCCGTTTTTATTCTGTATAACCTAGGGAGTTTAAGAAGCTATGTAGGTGTCTCCTTCAAATTCCTAATTCACTTAGAGTTATTTATATATGTTAAGCTGAGGAATTAAAAACAACACTATTTGATTTCCCTCTTATGTTCTCTTAATTTACTAGGTTGAAGTAAATCTGATGGGGTTAAACTTAATGTTGCTGAGAGGGTAAGATTTACAAGGCACTGCATTCACTTTATCTGTCTTTTTATGTATAAAAATGAAAAAAAGGGGGCCTTAGAATAGAAAAAATGTACAAATACCTGTCTTCTCAGAAAAATGGGTCTTTAAACATCAAACTTAAATTTTAATGAAATAATTTATAATTTAATGAAAGACTTAGAATAAATCCTGGATCTTAGACCAAATTAGGTGCTTTGAAATTTCTAATTTCTGTGATTTTCTTTCCCCATATTGCTTTGAATACAGCTTTTAAATCAAACTAATAATTTTAAAACTATTGGCATTCATGGTTTTATGATATATTTTCCTTTGAGAGTAGCAGTTGGGTTTGGACTATATAGTAAAAGTACATTCGAAACTCATAAAGAATTCAACTTTTTTTATGTTACTGGGTGATCTTTTTTAAATAGCATAATATCTTCATGATTCTTAAATCTCACAATTATGGAACACATGATACACATATTTATTTCTCAATCAGTGGTATATTTTTTAAGTTACATATACACTGCAGTCTGAGTTGAAAATACTATGAATGAAATATTTTTACAAGTCCAAACGTTTTGTGTAGAAATAACTTCTCAAGAAAGCAAAACAAAATAGCCTTCTTTTCCTTTCTTTGTTTACAACATCACTGCATCAAAATACTTAGTTTCTTTAGCAAGTATTAATCAGACTCTCTCTGGTTAACAGTTAATGAGTTTTAAAGCTGAACAATCATCTGTGCACTGTATGCCCAGATTAAAGGGAGGTCCCCAGATCACTATCGGTCTGAGGTTCCATCTCTGATGAGCTCCCAGGTGAGACTGCTGGGCCGGACTGCCCTCCGAGCCCCCGGGTGTAGACTTCTGCTGTGCCCATGTACATTCTTGAAATCTGAGGAAACCCTGTCATGTTGATTGGCAAGCTTGTCTCCTAAGACAACTAGATTTTTTAAAGACTCCTCTTCTATATGTATGCTTTTTAAAAGGGTGTGGGGTAATACTTAAGGTATTTTTTTTAATAACTTAAAAAAATGTTTTTAAAAAGGCAAATATTTTTCGCTCTTAAATGTCCAGAATCTCTTCCCCCCAAATTAGTTGTTGTTGCCTTAGAAAGCATTTTACAAGATTCTAAATGTGTGTAGGTACTTCTGTATTTCTAGGGATGACTCTGGAACCAGGGTTCTAGGGACAATCACAAATTGCTGTTAAAACTCGGTATAAAATGGATTAATGTAAACTTGCATTTATGAGATTTTGGGATATAATTACCCTCCACAGTCTCCATCTCTAACTACAAAAATAGTGGAAGAAGTTATTTTTAAATCCTTACACATATTTAAATTAATTGGTGAAAAATGGCCACCAGGTTAAAGTATTCTGCTATGGTTTCCCATTTCATAGCTCTCAGCTAAGAATAGAAGAGGATCCCGTTGGTCTAACATGGCCCCATCTACCTGGCCCTGGCTTTTCCCTTCCAGTTTTCTTTCTTAACTAATCTCCTACCATGCTTCCTAGTCTGAGAATCCACAGCCCTTGTTCTCTCCTCTGCTACTGCTTGAGTCCCGTTTTGCATGTCATGACTTTGTGGCTCCAAAAAACAGATGCCTTTGTTTACATTAATGTTTTCATTTATTTGTGACTTTTTTCCATAAATGCATGATTTTCTTTACTCGAGTTAAATCATCCCTGAATAAGTGAGAGTTCACTAACAATAAGTTCATTAGAGCTATTTGCATAATTTATGTATTTTATTACCTGTGACTAAATATTTGTTATAATGTAAGCCTGTTTTAATGTTAATAATGACCAATCCAGTAACTTCATAATTTTTAAGTTGTCTGCTTAAATGAATGTTACAAAAGTTTGTGGGATTTACTATATCTAATGGCTGGTTCAGGTGGTGGGATAGTGACATGAGGCAAAATGCCAAAGGATCAAATTAACTTGAACATTTTATGTTTGGCTCTCAAATTCTTGACCATTCAACAAACTTCAAAAATTTTTAAACAACTAATAAGTAACAAAGATTGTGTAATTAGTGGAAAGAGCACATGAAATTATGAGTTATGAAATTTAGGCCTATCCCAGAGAAATGGGAGGTCATGTGAGACCTTCCCTGAGGTTGACACCAGATGTGCCAGGGGAGAAAACCGCTCGGTGCAAAAGTCAACATGCACCTGAAAATGTGTGACTCATCCTAAAATTGATTTCTAAGACATTGCTTATGGATTTAATAAGATCTCGGTGTACTCCCTCCAAATCTAAGGTGCTAGAGACCAGGACCGCCTCTTACAGTCTTGCTCTGTGAGAGAGTTCACAGTGTTCACTGCAGGCCAGGTGGTTTCAGAGGTAAACTGACTGCACAGAGGTGCAGAGTCCGTTCTGCCTGTAAGTCTTCAAAGCGAAAGAGCTTCTCGCGCAAGGTGCCTGTTCTGGACTGGACGGCCAGGACCGCCCTTGTCATTGTGAGCGGATTGTCTCCCCCGCCTCACCCTCTGCCGTGGACTTTGTCCCACTGATGCGCCGCTCACTTCCCCTGGTTTGGTGTCACGAGTTTATTCTGCCCTTTTCCCTTCCTCTGTTCAGCACATACCTAACTGGTGAGAGCCACAGAGAAGTAAAATTTATTTCTCTCTGAGAAGAAGCTTTTATCATTTAAAGGTATCTGCTTTCTGTGTTTGTTTTGAGAGATGTCCTTTCTTTTGAAAAATGTCCGATGAATATTTGGGTAACAATAACATGAGCTAAGATACGCTGGCAGTAAACATCACAGAGGACACAGATTCCTGTTCTCTGCTAAGTTGCTGAGGTTTTCTTACACCGTTCCCGCTCTGCACATAAGTAGCATGTACTGACAGGCGCTGACGTGGGCTCCGGGAGGGGCGTGTCGCCTTGTCCTTTCATCAGACTGTGATGAAAACCTAAAAGTGAGGGGATTTTTTAGCCCAATGGGAAATAATCACAGAATCTGTTCATTTTAAGTTCAGGGAGGATAAATACCTTGTTGTAGAACCCAAAATACATTAAATATTTTCAATATAATTTCAATTCATAAATATTAATTCTGTCAAGGCATTTATCTGTTTCCTTTGACAGGATATCTTTACCATATGAAAGAAAAACCAACAAAAAAATTCTTAATTTGGAAAATAAGTAATTGTATTACCTTAAACCCCCTGACCTCCTCCACCTTCCACCTTCTGCCCTTGAATTGGCATGAATTGGAAGTGTCCCTCCATTTGTGCCAAAATGTGCCCCCGTAGCTGGGAAGGGGGAGCTGGGTATCCCACCACTTACCGTGGGAGGCGTTACCCTCAGTTACAATCAAGCGCTTGGGAGCAGATTCTGGAAAGGCCAATAGGAAGGGCAGTTTCTTGGTAAAAGCAAAACGGTGTCTGCTCACAGGGCCAGAGGGGAAGGCACAGTGTAGTAGAACTGGCTGTCTACCCAGCCCTGTGCATTTACCTGCTTGGTCTCCAAATTCCTTTGAAGCTCAAGCCCACCAGAAAAGGAGTTCAGGTTCCTGAGCTTCCAGATATCTGTAAACATTTCAAGTTAATTTAATGAATACTGAAGTTAATATAAAATAAGTGTAGTTAGTAATTTAGTTTCAGATTTTTATCTTCAAATTCATTATATCAAATAAATATTTCTTTAAATTTATAGTAATGCTAGGCCAGGTGGTTTCAGAGGTAAACTGACTGCACAGAGGTGCAGAGTCCGTTCTGCCTGTAAGTCTTCAAAGCGAAAGAGCTTCTCGCGCAAGGTGCCTGTTCTGGACTGGACGGCCAGGACCGCCCTTGTCATTGTGAGCGGATTGTCTCCCCCGCCTCACCCTCTGCCGTGGACTTTGTCCCACTGATGCGCCGCTCACTTCCCCTGGTTTGGTGTCACGAGTTTATTCTGCCCTTTTCCCTTCCTCTGTTCAGCACATACCTAACTGGTGAGAGCCACAGAGAAGTAAAATTTATTTCTCTCTGAGAAGAAGCTTTTATCATTTAAAGGTATCTGCTTTCTGTGTTTGTTTTGAGAGATGTCCTTTCTTTTGAAAAATGTCCGATGAATATTTGGGTAACAATAACATGAGCTAAGATACGCTGGCAGTAAACATCACAGAGGACACAGATTCCTGTTCTCTGCTAAGTTGCTGAGGTTTTCTTACACCGTTCCCGCTCTGCACATAAGTAGCATGTACTGACAGGCGCTGACGTGGGCTCCGGGAGGGGCGTGTCGCCTTGTCCTTTCATCAGACTGTGATGAAAACCTAAAAGTGAGGGGATTTTTTAGCCCAATGGGAAATAATCACAGAATCTGTTCATTTTAAGTTCAGGGAGGATAAATACCTTGTTGTAGAACCCAAAATACATTAAATATTTTCAATATAATTTCAATTCATAAATATTAATTCTGTCAAGGCATTTATCTGTTTCCTTTGACAGGATATCTTTACCATATGAAAGAAAAACCAACAAAAAAATTCTTAATTTGGAAAATAAGTAATTGTATTACCTTAAACCCCCTGACCTCCTCCACCTTCCACCTTCTGCCCTTGAATTGGCATGAATTGGAAGTGTCCCTCCATTTGTGCCAAAATGTGCCCCCGTAGCTGGGAAGGGGGAGCTGGGTATCCCACCACTTACCGTGGGAGGCGTTACCCTCAGTTACAATCAAGCGCTTGGGAGCAGATTCTGGAAAGGCCAATAGGAAGGGCAGTTTCTTGGTAAAAGCAAAACGGTGTCTGCTCACAGGGCCAGAGGGGAAGGCACAGTGTAGTAGAACTGGCTGTCTACCCAGCCCTGTGCATTTACCTGCTTGGTCTCCAAATTCCTTTGAAGCTCAAGCCCACCAGAAAAGGAGTTCAGGTTCCTGAGCTTCCAGATATCTGTAAACATTTCAAGTTAATTTAATGAATACTGAAGTTAATATAAAATAAGTGTAGTTAGTAATTTAGTTTCAGATTTTTATCTTCAAATTCATTATATCAAATAAATATTTCTTTAAATTTATAGTAATGCTTTTTTATCTTTCTCATCATATACTGGATGTCTATTTAAAGCTACTTATAGAAAAGGATTCCAAAACTACAGAAAAAAAAAATGTACTGACTTTGAAAAATAGAAAAATACAGTGGTTTCTTAGTCTGCTACAGTTAATTTCTGAGGCAAGAACTAGACAGTGTTTTCCAATTCTGCTGTTACAGCCATTATTGGCAACTGAGGATCCCAAAAGTGGCTAGTTCAACGTAAGATGTGCTATAAGTGTAAAATACACAACAGATTTCAAAGACTTAATATGAAAAAAATATAAAATATATTGCTAAATGTTAGTATTTTGGCTGTATTGGGTTAAGTAAAACGTATTAAAATAATCTTGCCTGCTTCTTTTAGTTTTTAAAATGTGGCTTGTAGAAAAAAATTACCTGAATGACTCACCTTATATTTCTTCGGACAGTTCTGGACTGGAATAATAGATTTTAGCAAGATGTAGTTATAGTGTGAGATGAACTTTAGGTATTAGGAGAATCTCTCACCTGAAGACGATTGACAGTGAGTGACAAATAAGGCAATACTGAACTTGAATACTATTGGAATTGTTACCTTTCTAAAAGTTTTATCTCAGAGCCAGATTTAAAATTGTATTAGGAAAACACGTTTCTCTCCAGTCTTTCCTACTGGCCCTAAATTAAAATGAAGAAGTATTTATTAAATACTTTGTATGGCAAACACTAGTTCTTGTTTTTGAAGGGAGTTAAAAATATAATACAGGGAGAGAGAGAAGAAGGGTTTGTAGAAGACAACTAGTTGAACACTTGAAATTAATTTGAAAGAATCATTGATTTCCTAGTTCAGGGACTTTGAATACTACAGATTTTTTTTTTAATTGTCTATTTTGTACGTGACCTTCTGGAATTGAGTTTCTGTACTTTCGTTTATCTCTAATGCTACCTTTTACCTTGCCTTGTAGGGAAACAGAGGTTAGTGCTGCATACAGCACTTACCAGAATAAATCAACCAATCCGGCATAGCAGACACACAAACTGGTGCATCAGTTTATCATTTGATCTGTTAAAATGTTAAGGCCTACTAAATTCATACAGCTACCATACTAGGAAACAGTATGGAGATTCCTTAAAAAAATTTTAAAAGAACTGCCTTATGATCTGGCAATTCCACTTCTGCCTTTATATGCAAAGGAAATGAAATTGCTGTGCAGAAGAGATAGTTGTTCCTGGCTATTGCAGCAACATTTACGAGAGTCAAGATGTGGAAAATGTAAATATCATCAATGGATAAATTGAGAAAGAAAATGCTTTGTATATATACATTGGAATACTGTTCACTCATGAAGGAAAGCCTTCCATTTGTGATCACATGGGTAGACCCTCAGAGCGTTATGCTAAGTTGAAATAAGTGAGACAAAGAGAGGCATATATGATCTCACTTATATGTGGAATATAAAAAAACACCCAATTGAAATAGAAATCTGATTGATGCCAGAGGTGGGAGATACAGGGTTGGGGAAATTGGGTGACAACTGTAAAAGGCATAGATTTCCAGTTAAAAGATAAACAAGTACTGGAATGTAATTAATGTACAGCATGGTGCCTATAATTAGTACTATTATATTGTATATTGGCAAGTTGCTAAGAGAGTAGATATTAGACAGTTTTGATCAGAAGCAAAAAAATTTTTTTTGTAACTGAGGTGATGGATGTTAAATCTATTGTGATCATTTTACAAAATGTTACCAAATGATTACGCTATACACCTTAAACTTGTACAATGTTGTATATCAGTTTCATGTCAATAAAACTAGAAGGAAAAAAAATAGCCTATAAAAGTTATCCTCTAGTTTCCTTCAGTCTTTTGAATGCAACTGTTAAGACAATGCTAACATTTTAATGTGACTTGATTGCAGTCACCGTCCTTGGATGCTGCTTTAAACGTGTGCATTTGGATATGAACATCTTGTCTGTTTTCACTTAAATAACACATGCATTTATAGGGAATGTCAACACAGTATGTAGCCCTGGTAGTCTTAAGGTTGGAAATGACTTTTTTTTTTAAGAAAATCTTGAACTTTAGTGATTGATATAGTTCCAATTGACATTACATTCTCATTTGTAAAGGAAGTGATTTTGAAATCTTTTTTCAGTGATTTAGATTAAGACTCTTTTAAGAATCATTCTTTCAACAACCAACGTGTTTTATATATTGTTTATTGTCAAAAGTCTTTAGAAATAAGTGTTCACAACTTCAGCCCAGAACAAGAACAGTGAAAAATTGGGATTTTGAACAAGTTTGATTTCTCTAAGAATATGACTGGAAAATACTCAAAGTTAATAGGGTAAAATTCTATTCTTAAAAAATTAGTTGTAACTAAAAATCATTTATGATCAAAAGCAGCTACAAGGTTAATGTATGGCATTCATCTTCACCTTTTATCAATAAACTGGTCTAGGAAATAATTCAGAATCAGCTGCCTACTTTTGTAGAAGTGACAGGGCCCGCACACCCATAGTGAGAATGCCTGCTCCCAGTACAGAGGGCACTGCGGCCTTGTCCTCTTTTAGGGCATCTTCTTAAAGGGAACTCCACACTTTAAGAACTAGAAAATCCCCTCTAAATTCTGGCTATGGGTGATTTTTTTTCTCCCTACGTGAATAAGGAGATGTCTTTCCTTAAGCATGTTATCTAAAACTAGGCAGTTTTGCAGGGAATAAATTCATCTGAGAGCCTCCTGTTGTATCGGCATCTTAGTCTTTGTGAGCATCTGACCTCATCTGCTGAAAGGCAGAGTGAAAATGAAGACACGTGTTTCAGAAAAGGAAACTTAACTTTGCGAATTTGCTGTTGGTTGTAAAAAGGGATGAAAAAAGGAAACAGCTGAGGTGGCACTTTATACTCTGGAGGAATAGATCGTGGCTCTCAAGTCCTCACACCAGGCAGGGGTCTTTCAAATAATCCAGTGGGCAGAGGTGGGACCACCACTCCAATTCCAATTCCATTTTTACAGGCTTTGTTTTACACTTTTATATTTAGTAGCACAAACGGGCCAAAGAATGGTTGCCTTGAGAAGATGGCTGGGAATCCTGAGTGACCCGGCGGCAGTACTGATTTACTCTAGGCCGTGTTTGTTGTACTGTAAGTGTCCCTTCCCTTTGTGATCTCAGGCAGGTACTTTAGGAAGAGAAGCTTGAGCAGAAATAGACAGGAATTCTGAATTAAATCTGAAGTTGAAGTTTTACTGTACCTGGTTTCACATACTTTTCAAGAACATAGCACTTGTTTAGAAGGCGTGGCTGTACTATTAATATTTTTTAAAGCCTGATTGAGGCATTTTCAACCAAAGATTGTTATGCTTACCAAAATAAACTTTTATAGTAGTTTCTGCTTCAGGTTTTTCTACTTAATTTATATGTGAGGTTGAACTATGGGTATAAAGTATGTTGTCTGTCAAATAATTTGTCAAATATGTGGGGAAACCAGTTTTTCTAGAGAAGTTGGTTTAAATGAGGGTAAAGAAGCATATTTGAATTTGCCATTTTTTTTAATTGGAGGAATGTATTTGCATGTATAGAGGTCTTCATTATTCATTTTTGAAAATTGGACCTTCAAATCTAGTAAATAAAATGTGGGTTTGCAGAAATTTCCTTTGTGATGATGCATCTGTTTCCCATGTGTTTTATCTCAAGTCAGAGTCCGCTTCTGATCATGGCCCATCATCTTTAACCACTCCACCCTGACAGTCACATATCTCCCACCCCTCTCATCTCAGAGCCTCAGGGATGCCCGAGCTGCTCCTCTCCCAGCCTAGCTCTGGCCTCCTGCTCAGAGGCGTCAGTCACGCCACATTACCTACAGCATCGAGTCCAAGTTTCAGAGCAGGACACTTGAAGTCTTCCTACAAGTAACTGCCAGCTTTCCTAACCAGCCCTTCTCTCTGCTACACATCTTCCCATAACCTACTCAGCCAAGCCAGACCGTCTGCCCTGGGCCCTCTGCTGTTTTCCTAGGTAGGTCACTGTTGCCTGAGCACCTATGTCCCTTAGGTCTTGGGCACCTTCCAAGGCCCAGCTCAAACACTGCCCTTTCTGTGGAGCTTTTCCTGATTTTTGATCAGCTGTCAGGACCTTTGATATTACCTAGCCGTGAGTTAACCACATTACATATCTTCATGTGTCTGGTAGAAGATATTCTTCCACATCACTTTACTGCATGGTATGGCTAAATAACTAAAAACCGGGAGTCCCAACAATGAAAGTGTAAAATTTGGTTTGTGTAACTAAAAAAAATCTTTCGCTTTTTGCAGATTGAAATTAAAAAATCAGATGCTAGGTTTCAGAGCTCAGGCCTCAGTGTTTCTCAGCCATGGCTGAACAGTGGACTCACCTGGGAGCTTTACTGCTCCCTGGACCCCACCCCCTACACATTTCTCTAGTAGCTGGGATGTGACCTAAACATAGGGATTTTTTTAAGCTTCCCAAGTGATGCTTAATACACAGCTAAGATGGAGATCTGCATTAGTGTTTCTCAAGTCACATGTCTGTTTCTACACATAAACTTATAAAGACATGGTAAAGGCTTATATTTCAAAATAATACTGGGGTTTTATTTAACCTATTTAAAAAATCAGAAAATATCTAAGACTTGAATTATGTCTTATCTCCTGGCTAACCAGACAAGGGTATCAGTGGTTTAAAAAATAGGAGCAATCTTTCCAATATCAGGACAGGATGAAAACTAGGTTTATTATAAAGAATTCACTTTATAAGTTTTATTTGGCTTTGAGACAACCATATATTCTAAAAGTTGTAATAATTAAACTTTTAAAGTGACTTAACAAAAAAATTTTGTGCAAAAACGCTGGAAAGACCTGGGATAGGCAGGAACTGAATTTTCACTGTTAAAAGAGTTCCTAGATATAAAGAATATAAGCAACTCTGATATTCTCAAAGTTGGTAATACCTGACATTTTAACCAAGAATGGACTTTTTTGTATATTAAAAAATTTGCATAGTTGTTATCAAGAGGATTTCATAGTCTGACTACTGACTTCCAGAAGTGAGGCAAAACTGAGTGACTGTACATACAGATTTTTCTTTCCCCTGAAGCTGTATCGCTTTCATCATTTCCAGGCACATCCAGAAGTTATACTAAAATGAAGTGGTCAGCCTCTAGAAATCGTAGCACTGCTGCCCTCTTGTGGACTGTTCAGGGCATTGACAGTCTCTTCCATGGTTTTTCAAACTCATTACTCAGAAGTTTCCATCATTGCTGATTCACAGAAGCCCTCTTTCAGTTCCATTTTGGATCTAGTATTACCTAGCTCTTTCTGTTCTCCTTCTATGAAATAAACATTTTTAAAAGGGCTAAGCCCTGCCCTTTAATGCTTAAACCTGGGGGAAGTATAATACTGGAGTCTGTAGTCAATAAACTATTTTTCATTCCCTCGCTTACATGCTTACATACCAGCAGAAGGGTAACCAAGTACGTAAGCATAGATGACATTGAGAAAGTGACCCACCGACTCCTGACTTGCTAGCCCAGGAAAACCTGTATAGGGTAGTGAAACTGATGTTAGCAGGAGAAGCCACTTAGGTTGTATAATTTACTTCCCTTACGTAACTTTAAAAACCAGGTGATCATGTTACAGTGGCAAGCCTTGTGCCAACTATGGGAGGGAAGAAAGAGCTCTGGCGGCCTGGTGCTTAAGGCTGAGGCCTCACTGACAGTTGTGGAAACTACTGCCGCTCTGACGAGCACTTAGAGCGTGAGGGGAAATCACTGGTCCTGTGATCCCCACTGCCACGTGAAAGGTCCTTCAATTTGTATTTGCTGTGGGATCCAATCATGGGGAGAATTCCTTGGGTAGGATCCCATTAGCACCATGCTTCCCGAATTTTCGTGTGCAAGTGAATCATCGTAATCTTGTTAAAGTGCGAATTCATACTTATTTGGCCTCAGGTGGGGCCTGAGCTCAGTCACTTCTCCAAATTCCACACGCTGCTGTTTGGGGCAGGCTGTACAC